GGGGAGTGCAATGAAATAAAAGACAAATCTTAGTGCAATCTCAGCTCTATCATCAAAGATGTGCTTGACATGCTGACAGTCTGAACCGCTGACCTGAAGACTGGAGCGTTTTTTTTTTTGTTTTTTTTTTTGTTCAGACTTTCTTTGCAGTGTAGAGAAATCGTGAATGGTGATTACTTAATTATCCTCATCTGTGAGTTTGTTTGTTTGTGTTACAGTGCGTAGCTACACGTGCAGAGTTTTCACTTCACTCAAAAATGTGGACAGTTAATTGGAAATGTTAAAACACACAACGGGATCTCATTGACTTTTGTTTTCTCTGTATCCTCTAATGTGTGGCTCGTGTGCTCATGCCAGTAGTGTTGCTTTGATAACGTGGGACCTAAGTGGTTGGCCTAAATTCAATGAGATGTCTTAATATCTGTATAACTGATGTAATAACTTATGACTAGTTTGATGATTAAAATTCCCTCGTATTACATTTGAAAATGCCAATTTTCTTTGGTGTGTGTGTGATGCAAGAAGGTACTGACGGTTGCTTTCAGCTGCTTTTTGGTAAATATTTGAAACCTCACTGACAATTGTTCAAGAGGAACACCAGTGGCCTGATACCAAGACATTGGGTGTTCCTATCAGCCTCAAAAAACTGATGCAGCATTTTTACAGAGCTGTGTAAAAGTCCCCTCATTTCTTTATATTTCGCTAACAAGGAGCCAGACTGTCATGTAATTTTTTCAAGTGGTCTTGAGCAATAGTTCTCCAGATTTTTTTTTCTATTTCACTATGTTCATGTGGTGTAGATAGGTTTTAGGCCTGCCACTTTTGTCGTCCACTTGTCCAGTTAAGAACACACCCTGCTTAGATACCATGCCAAGGTTTTGTCTAATGGCTCTTTAATATTGACTTTGTTGGTTCTTTGGAAATAGTCTGTCACATGTAGACACAGTGCTGGTTTGTTAGGTGCCTTTTTATGCTTGAAGAATTCATAGGCTAGTGTTATATGGCATTGTTAAGGAAAATGTTCTAAAACACTTCTTCAGTAAAGACTCAGAGAAGAGAAACACACAGAACTTCTTGCTAGCAAGGGCAGTCTCCAGACTGAGAGACTCGCGCTGAGCACTGCCCCGGTCTTTATTTTATACTTCTGTGTGTGTGTGTGTGTGTGTGTCCTGCTGATCAAAGGGTCATGAAAGCACAAAAGCTACATCCTTGGTCACAAAGAGGGTAGTCTCCCCCACCCTAGATGGTTCACCCTAGATAACACGGTGAGGAAGTCCAGCAGTTAAAACACTTAGACTAGAACAGACGTAGCTACGTTAATCCTACCATAAAACAATCAAACAAGGTACGAACTCTCATGCTCCTAGGATGTGGGGGTGAACACCCTAGAATGTTACAGACCTCCTAGGATGAGACATCCTTTCAATATGCCACCAACTATATACTTCTACACACAAATAATTACATGCAGCATTGTACCATATGCAAACTTATATCATTAAAAGATTATACTGACTACTAAGTACAATTTTCCATTGACAGGCTTAATAAAGAAACAAAAGAAAAGAAAACTCTAAATCTGTAAAAATGGTCACACACAAGGATTGGAGTGAAAATGAGTGAAAAAGCAGCCAGTGTCTCTCCCCCCCCCACGTCTGGCTCCTTGAGGCAAAATATAAAGAAATGAGGGTGGTTCAAGACTTTTGCATTACTGTGAAGCAGGCTACACCGATAAGGCATAACATTATGACCAATGACAGGTGAAGTGAATAACACTCATTATCTCTTCATCATGGCACCTTTTAGTAGGGTCAAGGACCAACAAGGACCAACCCCCTCACCAACTTATAAGACTGTTGCTAACATCTTGGTGCCAGATATCACAGCACACCTTCAGGGGTCTAGTGGAGTCCAAACCTCAAAGGTTTGGGGCAGAAGAGGGGCTAACACAAGATTAGGCAGGTGATCATAATGCTATGCCTGATAGGTGTGTCTCGTGTTGCTCAGACTGCGATTTACAAGATCTTAGACAATGACTACAGTGATTCGATCAGGGTTGTTTTGGCTTAAAGAGGCCTCTTTATAACAGAAAAAATACATTATACAAATTTTGAAGCTGCACTTAAGGTCAAATGAGGAGGCCGGTTCTGCTCTAATTTTCAACTTCCTTATTCAGAAGGACAGTCGAATGAGGAAGTCGTTTTCATGGTTCTGTTAAAGGTACATCACATGTTAAATGTTTGGATGTGCTTGCATGAGTGCGTTCCCTCCCTACCAGCACATACCCTCTAATAATCACATTATCTACATTTTAAATTTGTACAAAAATGGACATTAAAACCTAATTTGCTCATTGACAAAGCACGGCTCTTTCTGCTGCTTTAAGTATTAATGCTAAGCTAACCTAAACAGATCAAGCTTGGAGTGGCATCAACCTTCTTATCGTCCATCCATCCATCCTAGCTGTCATACAGTGAGACGTTCTTACTATAAGGAAGTGAATTTTCCAAATCTTTTGCTTTGTAAAGATTTATGTTTGCTAAACAGAGGTTTATGCAAAAATGCATTGAATGATGAGCAGTGAAGTTTCCATGCT